TAGAACGGCCAAGGTCAAACTTTTGTTTCTAGGAGCATATTGCGTAGCGTAATTTTAGTCGCTTATTCGAATGCAGAACTCAAAGCAGTCGTGTATGATTTTGGTCACCATGGCTTCCGGAAAGTCGAAACCGGTCACTGACTTAATGATCGTGTGACTATTGCTTAGAACAGGTTTCCACATTCTGTGGCACTTTGTATACACACTTGGAGTTAAACATTTTCTTTGGCCCGAAGGTCATGACTTGGGAACCTCAAATTTTCAACCAAATAGGCTCATTTACAGAACAACATATCTTGTAAATTTAGCGTCTCTACCTCTCTTAGTTCCTGAGATCTCAGCGGGGTCAAATTGAACCCCACATGAGCTAATGGTATCCAATCGGCCGCCCGGGCGCATGTTAACGCGGCCAGAACACTTCCTGATCTCAAGTCAAGGGGCGCTAGGGCGCTGATTTTTTGTCATCTGGCATTTTTTTTTTTCTGTGTGAACATGTTGGTGATAGGAAAATGAACTTAAGCCCGAACAGAGCTGACCTGTTAGGTGGTGACGATTTTGAGGTGAATAGCTAGAGCAAAGCTCAGAATAAAAGCTCAGCGGAAGAGAAAGAAAAGTTGGGCCGGAACTGATCGTCGCTCTGTCTGTTAGTCTACTAGTATTCAACAGCAAAAAGCAGGTGATATTTATGAGAGTCAAGTCATTTGATGTACTATCAAGCACGATGACCTATGTAGATGTGGTATTACAAAAACATTGAATCTGTTGGTGCTTGAATTGATTGAAACTCAATTCCTCTCGAGAAACTGAAACTCAATAAAAAGTTTGGCCGGTAATGACCTGCGCCGACCTACGGATTTCAAACTAGTCCTTTGAAATGCATAGGTCAGCACATGTGCTTGTGCTTGAAAGTGATCTGAGTATGTGTTGAAATGCCATAAAACATTCCGTGAAATGTCAGGTTCATGAAAAGGCGCCCCAATACGTGTTCGAATCCGAATGCGGGGTGTTGCCAACTTCATGGACATCTTTATGTCCAGAGGTCGCCCAGCATGTGTTTCACCTCAAATTTTTGTCAGCACCATTGCCCAGTTTTATCGTGCACCAGATGGCTTCTGCTTCGTTGAGAGTGTGTCGTAAGGGTTCCTAATTTTATCAGAGCGCGGCGATAAATTGCCAAAAGCCAATTCTTTGGTGACGGCCTATGGTGTGATAATGGCGCGAGGGAAATTTATTTTGCATTCAGGACGGCCGTGGGGCAAGTAACGACAGAGGTAAATCATTACACAGATGTGCGGTCGGCAGCCTCCGCCCCTGACCAGCATAGACAAGGCCGTATCGCACCGTCCCCACAGTGTCGGCCCGGTCCTCCTGTCGAATTTCGTGCCGCCGTGCTAGTCTCTGCTACACGCTGTCGTTAATGGTATTCTGCTAAACGCTGCCGCTTATGGTTATTGCTATAAGCTGCCGTTGATGGCATCTGCCTACACGCTGCCGCTGATGGTATCTGCTACACGCTGCCTCTAATGGTATCTGCTCACGCTGCCGCTGATGGTATCTGCTACACGCTGCCGCTAATGGTATCTGTTACACGCTGCCGCTGATTGTATCTGCTACACCGCTGCCGCTGATGGTATCTGCTACACGCTGCCTCTAATGGTATCTGCTACACGCTGCCGCTAATGATATCTGCTACACGCTGCCGCTGATGGCTATCTGCTACACGCTGCCGCTAATGGTATCTGCTACCACGCTGCCGCTAATGGTATCTGCTACACGCTGCCGCTAATTGTATCTGCTACACGCTGTCGCTAATGGTATCTGCTACACGCTGCCGCTAATGGTTTCTGCTACACGCTGCCGTTAATGGTATCTGCTACACGCTGCCGGCGATGGCATCTCCTATACGTTGCCGGCGATGGCATCTGCTACGCGCTCATTTACTGCGCACGGACAAAAGGCCAGTGCTGGCATTCTGACACCTACGCTGTGTTCATCCAACGACGCATGCAGGCCTATGACGAGTTAATCGGCGCAGTCGGATTTCCAGGTGCGGGAATTATCTCACTTTTCCGGGACACACAACGCCGTTGCGTGTAATTACCGACGAAAATGGTGTCGTGTATTGTTAACAACCGTTGGTGATTTAGGTGTCTGACCCAACAGTCTATAGATGACTGCCATGAGACAACGCGATTTAGCCATCAGGCCACCGAAGGCAAAGCAATGTTGGGTTATTTTACCGCTGCGAAACGAAACACAATGGAAGTTTCCGAAAGGACGACGAGATCAGTGGTGTGGAACGTTCAATTTGTTCGTTCAATATTGACCATCCTGTTAGGAGCGTCCGAGAACACACCAAATGCACAACTTAACCATCCCCTGCGCAGGCCGGGCTTGACACAATGAAACCTTTCGGTACGCGTCTGCCACTGCCGCACTCAAGGTGGATTAGATCCATCGCTGCAAAAAGGAATCCAATTTCACCCCGCCGGGACAGCGCTGTAGGCAGGGCCGACCCGCCGTCGCGACGCATCCGCACGCAGCAGGACCAAGGCCGCTGCCTCCTCGCAAGACCAGTAAGCTCGTCGTTTCATCGACAATCGATGAGCTCAATTCATGCGGATCAAACGGAGTGCTGCATTTTTCGCCAAGTTGGCCTCAAGACGGTCGCCTGGCGGCAGCCCCAGGCGGATCGCCACGCTATTTCGCCGCCGTCTTCAGAAGACAACCGCAGAAAAACAGGCCTCGTCGCTCACCTACAAACATCGCCGGAAAATCAATGACGGGACCTGTCAGCGTGGCTGTGCTGCGGACAAAACTTGGGACCGAGTTACAAAAACAGCAGCGCGGTCTGAACCGACATGACCGGCGCTTCGAGACAGCGTTTTGCTGCTGGCGCCAGCCTGCAGGCTTGAGTTGATCTCGGCGTCACTGACCAGCGTCCCGCTGCTGGCGCAGCCAGCAGGTTTGAGATGACCTCGGCGTCACTGACCAGCGTCCCGCTGCTGGCGCCAGCTTGCAGGCTTGAGATGACCTCGGCGTCACTGACCACCGTCCCGCTGCTGGCGCCAGCTTGCAGGCTTGAGATGACCTCGGCGTCACTGACCACCGTCCCGCTGCTGGCGCGAGCTTGCAGGCTTGAGATGACCTCGGCGTCACTGACCAGCGTCCCGCTGCTGGCGCAGCCAGCAGGTTTGAGATGACCTCGGCGTCACTGACCAGCGGCAGACGCGTCACTTAACGACGAGCCGTGGACACTACGTCACCTCAGGCGTGGTGTTCTCTGCCTCTGATAATAAGCGTGATATAATAAGTAATGCGCTTGATATGCGTGTCACCAGCACATGACGCGGCCACACGGTGTTTAGTGCCTTTCTGTCGTGCGTGGTGCGCAGGGCAAGTAGCCAGCTTGAAGTATTTTGAAACGGACGCATTGCTCTACCAACGTGAACGTGAACACACGAGAGGGCGAGCTGATGACTTTGACTCACGCTGCTTAGATGCCATCCCGACGGTGGACAAATGACGTCAAGTGCATTGTCAAGTCTTAGCTGGGACAAGCACCACTGGCATTTGTGAACATTCAGTCGGAGAGTCTGGAAGCATTATATATATATATATATATATATATATATATATATATATAGGTATATAGGTATATGGAGGCATTAGGTTGGCTCACAATTCTCTGATCTTTTAACCTCTATGACGTGAGCACTTTTAGGATTGAGCTAATCTTTGGAATACTTTACTGAGTGAACTCGTCCTGGTGTAAAGCCACGAGCTGGGAGGCTGTCCTGGTGCCGAGTGTCGATCTGGGAACGTCCTCTCATTTCCAGTTTCCACAAGTAAGGTAAGAATCGGAACGTTTTTTTCGTTTTATGGTTGCTACTTACAAGCTTAAGGTAAAGCCAACGTTACGACGTGCATTTCACAAAGATGTACGCAGAGTCTTTTCCTGTATTGGTCTTTTAAAAATTGGCTTTTAGGGAAACCAGTAGATGATGAATTCAATAAAGCTCAATGCTAGGCATTGCCAATGTCGTGACATTTGTGCCATTGCTGAGCATTACCGTGCCAACAAAAAGCTCGTAGTCATTACAAAAGTGGCACTTAGCTTTGCATTCTTTGTGGTTGATTCGCTGCACGTCGCTCCACATACCATCTAATGACACCGCTTGGCTGAGCACCAATTGTTCGGTCGCTTGGCCGTTTTGATCGACGACATACGCTGCGCATACGCTGATCGTGCAAAACCTCAGTTGGACCTCAATTTCCCGGTTCTCCTATAATTTTCCTCCACCGTGATTATACCACGAATCCCATCCATTTTACGCAAAATATCATAGATAACTTCATAAAGAGTGGTTAGCAAAATGCACCAGCGAAACACGTCGCCTCCTTATGCTCTTTATTAAGCGTGGCATGCACGATCGATGAAGAGTGAACACGAAAGCGCGGATGAAGACAGACAAAATTGCAAGCGAGTTCGTTCATCTAACCCTGGCCAGGCTATTCCGCATCAGTCATGAACTGATGCGGAATAGTCATGAACATCTGCTGATCGTCAGGCCATGTCCACCAGTCAGTGACAGAAGATATATGCGACAGAGTTTCAGCATCCTCTATCTAAAATGAGATCATTACACTGGTACAAAATGATGGCATTGGCGTTTGACCGTCCATCAAACGCTACCACATGGTAGGACACAATCAAGATCCTTCGCGCCCACTGGCAATGAAACGGTCATGATTTATAGTAGTCACGTCTGCTCCTAAGAGGGCATCCTTCAAAACGGACGCAAGCGACGGCACAGTTTTTCAAGAAGAGAAGAGCGCAGTCCATAACACTTACCAATTAAAAAGATAAGGCTGGACATTGGAGGGCTCTTCTGTCAAATCTCCTCACCTCTGGAGAAATTAGTCGTGGCGTTGGACAGTCAAGGGACTGATGCAAGTCCGGCTGCTGACATAGCATCCACCACGCGGGCGGCGTGAGGTCAGACGGTGGCAGTACAGCCTCTGCCGGCGTGCCAGCCCCAGCCGGCCGGCTCTCGCGGCCAGCGCCGGCCACGGGGAGCGGTGTTGGTGCCGCGACTGGACGGACGCGGCGGCGCCTCGGCCTCGGACTGGTCGCTGGTGGGACCCGGTAGTGCCGGCCTGTTCAAGCACTCCATTGCGTGGTACAGCATCGCCAGATCGTCCTGCACGGCGAGGTCCGTCGTGAGTCATGGGTATTGGATGGGCAAGGCCATCGGAGACGGTGAGAGGATGGGGTGGACAAGACCACTGCAGACGGCGAGAGATGACATGCGATCGGGAAAAAATGTTTGAATTCGGATTGGAAACGTTTTCAGCGTTGATTTAGGTTTAAGTGGAAGCAACTGCTTTCTGCGAAGGAATATCATGCTGTATTTGGCCTTATATATACATATATATATATATATATATATATATATATATATATATATATATATATATATATATAGCAGACTGTTATATATGTAAATGCATGTACATATATATATATATATATATATATATATATATATATATATATATATATATATATATATATGTATATACATGGAATACTCTCACCTATGCTTTCTCACATGCATGCCTGCATGTGAATGCATTTGTGTGGCATCATTCTCGGGTACATCATCATTTCATAGCGGTAAGTGTTGGCTCGCGTGCACGAAAGACCACAAGCTATATGAATTATCTTGCCCAATAAATGACAAATAAATGGAAACTGGCGACAAGTCGAAGATAACAAAGCAAGCAATTAGTCTCGCGTTACCCGTAACTCGCCTGCATCTCGACAAATGGGGCCTCTTTCACCAAATCCGGACGCCAAAGCTAGTTCCATGTCCCATGCATCCCATGCTTTATTATTCAGGCCATTACTATGCCCTTATTTATCACAATCATTACTTTTTTACTCACACGCTATTGTCATACATTGCGGTCATTGTTGCTCAGCCATTACTGGCCTTCTCGCCATATTGTCACCAAATGCGGGTCATTTGTCTTCTTATCGAAAACTCCCACGCCTATCACAGGCTATTCATGAAGCCCAGGGACACAGTTCTTGTACAGGCGGGAGCGGACGCTGGAAAGCCCAGTTCCCCAAAATATGCACCCAGACACATCAGCATTGAATGTGACGCAAGCAAAATCCCGGAGGAGCACATCTTGTTGGCAGGGCTGACCATGTGCCCCACTCGCTTAACGTCATAAATCATGTTCAGCTATGTCTGTCAGGGAGCTCGTGACCAATGCGTCGTTAACGTCTCATGCTGAAGCATGCATTAACATTCAGTACACGGTCAGACAGCTTCCATCATTCTTGAGCTGCATGTGCTTACACAAAAGGTGAAGTACAGAACGCGTTCCACCGAATATATATGTACACGCACACACGCACGCACGCACGCACGCACGCACGCACGCACGCATTGCCCGCGCGCGCGCGCACACACGCACACACACACACACACACACACACACACACACACACACACACACACACACACACACATATATATATATATATATATATATATATATATATATATATATGTATATATATATATATATGTGTATATATATATATATATATATGTATATATATATATATATATATATATATATATATATATATACATAGGCATACAGCCAACAGTGGGTACACAGATTAGCACCGATGACCATCTGCGCCGGTGGCGAGCACGCACCGGTGTCTGCCAGACTCCTGGGCGTCTCATGTGACACATCTTGGCGTACATGTAGACATCCACGGCGTTCTCGCTGGCCAGCTGTTTGGCCAGTGTGGTAAGGCAGCAGAACATGGCCGCCTCCGTTCCGCCAAACCTGACGCCACACGCAGCACACCCTCCGTCAGCGCCGATCGACACGGAACGCGTGGCGGATCTCAACTTGACCTCTCATGACCTGGAGCCTCGCTTGCTGTCCCAGACTAGGCACTGAATTGGGTACATGAATGAATCACAGAAAAAGTTGATTCCAAAACCGACACCATGAAAACTGCATCGCAAGTATGGAGGGAAGAGAACGGATAACAAGGATAAGTGGATAGATCCATAAATGCACGCGAGGCACCATATATGTCTCGCAATTCCAGGATACCTTTGAACCATGAGCTGTGCTTTACCACCTACACCACCGCTAGGGATAAATCCCCGCCACACGCGAACCACCCTCACAGAACGACGACGTTCACAGACCGACGACATCACAAACCGACGACGTGTTTATTTGCGACATCCTTCCACCACTAACCTGTCAACCACCACCACCGGCTCGGCCTGGCGCCGGGCGGCGGGCCGCAGGAGGGCCCGCACCAGGCGGAGGGGCGAGCCCACCTCGCCCCCGGGCCACTCGGGGCTCGCGACCAGCCGTACCGCCGCCTGGCGGCCGTCGCGGTCCGACCGCAGCGCCAGCTCCAGCGGCGCGAGCGCCGGCGCCGACTGCGGCGGTGACAGGGGCTCCGCCAGCTGCACCCGGAAGAGGTCGCCGACGGCGTCGTCACCCGACACCGGCCAGAACCGCGGGTAGTACTGGCGGGTGTAGGGGAGCTGAGATCACCACCAGCGTCACAGGGTGAGAAGGGGGTCCAGAGGTGTTGGTGCAAAGCCGGAGGAGGGGAACAGCGTTGAGGTTCAAAAAGAGTGGTGTGGTTTGAACCGGAGTTAGAACCATGGTGCCTACAAGCGATACTGATAATTGCAGCGGGAAGGAGGCCCTCCACAGGGTATCCGGAGCGGGTGGGTGTCGTGGAGGGGTGGGGGGCGCCTAAGGTGGCCCGATAGTGTTAGGTGAGTGATATTGCTCTCGCAGATCACAGAAGTCACCAGGAGGACATCGTGTGAAATGCTACGATTCCTTAACGATGCTGCCATCGAAATCACGTAGCATCAATCCTGCCTGCCTATTCTAACTGGCGGGCGTCATCTCTTCCTCCCACTTTTCATATGACGTCACCATTCAACCATCCTTTCCACCTCTACCGGTTTACATCTTCTCACTATATTTAGGATACCAGCTATATTTGTACAGCAATGCCACTCTTGTTTTCCGTTAAATACAACTGTTCAGTATGAATGAGACGAATATCGCGTCCAGATCTGCAGGGGCGATGTCACACTTCTGTTCCCTAAGATCAAAGGGAAAAGTTTGACCCATTCTGATGAGTGTCCACCACTTTGCGAAAGGCAGGGTCTCCGAAGCATGTGATTAGTCCTACTCCAAGAGTTGGTTCTCAGATTCGATCGTACCTGCTCGTCAATTGGAGAGAGGACGACCACGGTTTGCACGCTGTGCTCCCACACCATCCGCCAGAAGTCATCTACCGTGTGCGCCAGCGGATGCTGGGTGATGATGAACTCGCAAGGCCTGTCGTAACCTGCGCAACATCAGTCAGACAACGTTAGTCTAAAACGCAGGGAACAGAACATGCGGCAAATAATATGACATGTCGGAAAGGCAAAAATAATTCAATCGCTGTGAAATATTAGGAACCTAATCAGCATGAAACCGTACAGTTTATTTCTGAATATGCAGCACCGATCCAGGGCTCCAAAGCGGTCTCGCTTGAGGTTGCCGAGTCGCCTGCCCTGCCCGTGTCTGTCCGATGTCAGACGTACCTGTCAGGGGAGTGGCGTTGATATAGTCGCTGCCCTCGACCCCTGGCAGGAGCGAGAGGTTCACCCGCCACCGGTCCAGAGGCAGAAACAGGCCGCTGCGATTCCTCGCCTGGTTCTGCCTGGCTGACGTCATCTCGTCCGCCGACGGCCGGTATGACGTCACCAGCTGCTCGGCACGGAGAACAAGCACTTCTGTGCGGCGTGCCACCGGAGCGGCCGCGCAGACTCAGACTTACAGAGAACTGATGGCCATCGGGCTGACCACAGCGGTGATAGCAAGCCAAGCCTGACAGAGCGCCTCAGCAGCACCGCCGGCACCCCCGGCTGGGTGACGCTGTTAACTCACGGGGGTCGGTCAGCACCGGCCGGCCTGACGGCACGCACCTAGCACCCGTGCGGCGGAGGCCACTGACCTGATACTGGCGGTCGAGCGTGAGGCCGGGGGTGGTGGCCCGGGTCGCAGGAGCGTAGCCGGTGTAGGCACTCGCCGAGCCGCGAGGCCGGCACGTCAGTCTCTCCCGCTTCCAGCGCCTCCAGCAGCGCGTCATGCACGAACACGTACTGCTCCTCCGTCGGCACCACGGAGCCGCGCTGCGTGCCGATGTGCTTCAGGAAGCCGAACACGTTGACTGCGCTCCGGAGCCTCAGCATGCTCATCATGGCGTCCAGCACCACGTAGACGCCGGTCCGATCCGCACCGGCTCTGCCGAGAAATGAGCAAACACGGCGCTGCGTTGCCGGTCCGAGGCATAATTGTACTGGCGAGACATGAACAAACAAGGGATTATGGCACTGGTCCAGCCCACACCGGGACTGTCGAAGCACGAACGAAAAAAAGGATCGGTGGTGCGGTCCGACTTCCATGTGGACTACCACCGGGACACTTGCATACTTGAGGCTGTGGTGGCGGTCCGGGCCCCACCTGTGCTACCGGAATACCAACATACCAGATGTAGTGGCGGTCCAAGTTCCACCTGTGCTACCGGGATACTAGCATACCAGATGCTGTGGTGGCGGTCCGCGCCCCACCTATGCAACCGAGTCACCAGCATACCAGATGCTGTGATGTCGGTCCGAGCCCCACCTATGCTACCGGACGCAAGCATGCCAGACGCTCTGGTGTTGGTGCGATCTCTAATTCCGCGCTCCAGCTGGCCATGGCCTCGGGCGAAGCGATTTACACGCCTTTTGTGTTCTTGCAAGCCGTCCATTACCTTCGAACAGGCCCACTAGACATCGCATAATCGTACCTGTTGCAAGCCGGCCATTCATGCAGCTTACAGTAGACGGCTTTGGGTAAGTCCAAACATTTTTGCAACATGCAAGAGCATCATGATCTGACTTGATTCCACAAACAATGTTGTGCAGGGAATCTTGTCTGGAGCACAAATCTAGCAAAGAACTACGTTCAGCTCGCAGATATTACAGCTAAGGCTTAGCCGATTGGAAAGCCGCTGAGGGACAGCAGGACAACGCCAGAGGATTGGCTGTCTAGCCGATCATTCTGAGACTATCGGTGGATGTTCATGACATCTGATCCCGTCAGGCCTTAGCCTCAGGATGAGGGGTTGTGTCTCGCCAAGCTGCACGCTCCGAACACCTGGGTCCGCGTCCGCTGCACGTTCCGGACACCTGGGTCCGCGTCCGCTGCACGTTCCGGACACCTGGGTCCGCGTCCGCTACACGTTCCGGACACCTGGGTCCGCGTCTGCCGCACGTCCGGGACACCTGGGTCCGCGTCCGCTGCACGTTCCGGACACCTGGGTCCGCGTCCGCTGCACGTTCCGGACACCTGGGTCCGCGTCTGCCGCACGTCCGGGACACCTGGGTCCGCGTCCGCTGCACGTTCCGGACACCTGGGTCCGCGTCTGCCGCACGTCCGGGACACCTGGGTCCGCGTCCGCTGCACGTTCCGGACACCTGGGTCCGCGTCTGCCGCACGTCCGGGACACCTGGGTCCGCGTCCGCTGCACGTTCCGGACACCTGGGTCCGCGTCTGCCGCACGTCCGGGACACCTGGGTCCGCGTCCGCTGCACGTCAGGGACACTTGGGTCCGCGTCCGCCGCACGTTCCGGACACCTGGGTCCGCGTCCGCTGCACGTTCCGGACACCTGAGTCCGCGTCCGCTGCACATCCGGGACACCTGGGTCCGCGTCCGCTGCACGTTCCGGACGCCTGAGTCCGCGTCCGCTGCACATCCGGGACACCTGGGTCCGCGACTGGTGTCGCTCGGGATCGAGGTTTACGTGAGCAACGCAGATAGCTTGGCTCATTTCAAAACCGAGAGTCTTGTTGCCAGGAATAGGGTCACTGACGGAGACTGTGGTCTCTTTTCCACCCGGAAAATGAGCAAGGGCGAACTGGGGATTAGCCGCAGAGTTCCATCTCTTCGACAAGAGGTTCATGTTTTGAACATTGGGTATGACGGCCCAAAAGAAGGACCCTGGTGTGAGAAGCTATGTGAGGACTGAGCAGCCACTAGTTGAGCAGTGACTGACCCTGAGTGACACTGAGTGACACTGAGTGACACTGAGTGACACTGAGTAGACTCCCATGACGAACTGCACGCGTTATTGTACATAATAACGAAAGAATGGAGTGCAGTGCATCCTCCTGCAATACCGCTCCCACTGCTGAAGTAGGAGACTGCGGGATATCAGAGCCCACGCCCAGGGCCACGGTCTTCTATATAACACGCTATGCCACCCGCAATAACTGTTGCTGTTTATGTTGCATGACCTAGTGGGTCGTGGTCGTGAGTCGTGACCTCACAGTAAGCGAGGTTACAACTATTCAAGAGCGCCACACATCAAATGCACCAGGAACGCTCCCGTTTTGGAATGTATGTGTGTAAGCACAGCACAGCACGGCACAGCATAGCACAGCACGGTACAAATAGCAAACAACTGAAGGAGGCCGACGGCGACTGTGTTTGCTGTATCAGCACACGGAAGCGATGCAGGCAAGCGTGAAAATTAATCGGTGTGTGCAAACAGCCAGCGGCTGCGGCTGACCCAAGTAAGCGGTCCGAGGAGCCAAAAGGACTGAGTGGCTTTGACTTAAAGTGCCTGAACCGAGCTATGGACTGTAGCACGCAAGCAGAGTCTATCACTGAGAGTGCAAAATTACGAGAGCCAACAAAATGCACCATTTCTACCCCCCCCCCCCTCCCCGAGGTGACGGATAATAATTGTGCAGATCACCTATGCTTTCTAAGCTGACAACCACACACTCAGTTCTACAGACAGAAAGAATATGCTGAGTATCATCTGCTGACACACTCTTCTTCCCCAGTAGACAGCTGATTTCAAAAGTATAAGGGCGAGTTCGAATTTCCTGCGCAAGCTGCTTCTGCTCTCGATCGCGCCCAATTTCTTTGAGTTGAATCTGAATGACGCTGATCTCTGGCTAGTGATCAGAATACAGCGACGCACAGTCAGTGGTGTAATTTCCGTAAAGCTTCCGTGATAACATACGCGTCCTTCTCCACTGCTGAGTGCCTCTCTTCGCTCGCATTAAACGTTCTGGAGGAGGCCACGGGACGACGAGCCTGATTTAGAGTCGCAGTCGTTGTTGTGTGTGTTGTATCAGTCCGAACTGCAAATGACATGCTTTCCTGGATGAGAAGCACTAGCACATTGCAGGTCTATTAAGGGGTCTGAAAGCCTGCTCAGTAATTCCAGATAAGAAAAATGATGTGACACGAAGTTTTCACACGTAGTTGGGAATCTACAAGTAGAAGTACTAGTAGTACGAGGACATCCCCAGAGTCAGACGTAGCCAGCCCACGTTTTCGGGAAGACGGCACGCCTGGAAAAAACCGTGTCACTGGCAACAAACTTGGTGTCACCACTGAAGACAGCATGGCCCGGGATGCTCATCCAATCCACCGAGAAAGAGCACTTGGAGTTGAGCGTTAAGCCCGACTTCTTGGCAGCCTCTGAGAACTTGGTGAGATTGGCGTGCTGCTCTGCCGTGCTCTGACCACAGACGGTGGTTTGTTCCGGTAGCCAAGTGTATCAGAGACCCTGTTGTCTGCGCCCTGTGGCGAACCGACTCATTATGCGTTGTCCATTCGTGACACCGACTGCACGTTTTTCGTACGTGATACAGTAGCTGTTTGCATGCCTGGAAGGCCGTGAAGGAATTGCCCTAATGCCGGACCAGAAACCAATAATAGGCAGATTAGAGGTCAACGACACCGACCAGGTGTCGTGCCGCATGACCGACTAACATACTGCGCTTTGAGCAGTGATATCTAACAGGCCTCGTCGAGTGGCTGATGGCCTGAAAGTAGTCTTTGTGGAGTGGGTGATGGCCTGAGAGTAGTCTTTGTGGAGTGGGTGATGGCCTGAGAGTAGTATTTGTGGAGTGGGTGATGGTCTGAGAGTAGTCTTTGTGGAGTGGGTGATGGCCTGAGAGTAGTATTTGTGGAGTGGGTGATGGTCTGAGAGTAGTCTTAGTGGAATGGTTAACGGCCTCAGATCCGTCTCACCACACGCCCTTCATGTCGTTCATTTGTGGTGCCCATCGAATGAGTTGGCCGGGGAGAAATGCTGGGCTTGAGGATGTCGCCACCCAGCAGTTGTCTCGCTTTGTTGTACAGGACCTCCCTGTCAGAGGCGCAGACAGTTCGACTTGGAAGCGAAGAGCGGAACAGGATCGCTGGGTTTGTAGTTTGTAGTCCCGCGGGCACTTGGGCTTCGAGACAGATTTCATTAGGGACTTTTTAGCTTATTGTCCTTTTTCCAAGCCATCTGTACGCGCAGTTCTGCTTGCCTAACGATTTGTTTGATTTTCAAAGCGAGTGCTCACCCGTGCAAAGTATTGTCAAGAACCCATCGTTTAACAGGACATGTTCTCGTCTCCTACCACTCATCCACCATGCGTTTTATATTGATTTCCTCTTCCAACATTTTACTTAAAAGTCACGGAGAATATCCATTGCCCACAGCAAAGTCCGTATTTGGTTCATGCTCTATCTTTCCTTTTCACTGCTCAATAAATTATTTAGAGCCCTATGGAAGCCACGAATTATATTACGTTTAGTGGCAGTTAGATGCGCAAATTAAAAGCGCAGAACTGTATCAGAGTTCTTGGACTTAATTAAGAGCTTCGTTACTAATGTTGTGCGGTTCTTCCTCCTTTGTACCGTCACTAGCGTACTCCAATATGGGCCCCTTTTCGTCCCCTGCATGCTCCATAGCAAAGGCAAATTTGGATGCTGGTTGTTCATAGGCTCTAAAGATTCTTCAACGGCATGTTGTCTGTGTGTCCATACTCAAGCATTATCATCGAGAGAAACAGCCTACCTTCGCTTTCATGCCAGTGATAGTCTCATTGACTCGTGCGTTGCCATATAAATTGAGTGTTTTTAGTGTTATTTTTAACCGTGTTCTTTAGCAGCTTTTTCTTCGGTGAAAACTGAGTAGGAACCCAGTCCCTCAGGTAGAGGCCGAAAAAGAACACCACAGAGCACAGTTAGCGGAAAACTTTCGTTCAATACCATCAAAGATCTAAGGCCTAGACACGGTGGAACGTCTGTGTGTCATATGGGTTGTCTAAGGATCACAAAGCTGCAGTGCCCCTTAGACCCGACATATCTGCGTGTGGTAGTCCTACAGAAAAGCTTCGTGTCTTTTAGAGAAAATACTCAACTAACTCTTGAGGTTTGTTCCCATTTATTTGTGGGACACCAGAGA